TAATAGGTTTTTTGGTTTTTGGCTTTTTTTTTTTTCAGGGAAAAAAGTTCTACAAACCTTTAATCAATAAATGGATAATGAATACCAAAAAGTCATTTAAAGCTTTTTTTAAAAAAAATAATAGAAATAGGCAAGAAATATACTAAAACAGGTTTAGTTTCAACAAATAGTACAGGAACAATTAAAATAACATCATTGTCACGATCAGATTAATAAGTATTAAAAATATTGGTAATATCAAGTATTGACATCTCTGAAAGGAACTGGGTATTCATAGAAACTTTTTCTTCATCTTAAAGCAGTCCCTTTAGCATATTTTGCAGTGCTGGTTTGGTGGAGGTGTATTCTTTTAGCCTTCTTTTTTCTGGGAAACTCCTTATTTTGCCTTATATTTTAATTGAGACCCTTGCTGGGTAGAGCAGTCTTGGTTCCAGGCCTTTGCTTTTCGTTGCTTGGAATATTTCTTGCCGTCCCCTTCTGGCTTGTAGTTTTTCTGTTGAGAAATCAGCTGCTAGCTGTATTGGGGCTCCTTTATGTGTTACTACCTCTTCCTCCCTTGCTGCCTTTAGGATTCTCTATCTTTGATATTTGCCATTTTAATCATGTGTCTTGGAGTAGGCCTCATTGGGTTTCTCTTGAATGGGACCCTCTGTGCTTCCTGGACTTGTGTGACTTTTTCTCTCCTCAACTGAGGGAAGTTTTCCATCATTACTTTTTCAAACAGGTTCTCTATCCCTTCCTCATCCTCTTCTCTTCCTCCTATTATATGGATATTATTATGTTTCAGGTTGTCCTGCATTTCCCTCAATGCTTCTTCATTCTCTTTGAGTTTCTTTTCATTTTCTTGCTCTTTCTGGGAGCTTTTTTCTACCTTGTCCTCCAGCTCGCTGATTTGTTCCTCTGCTTCATCTAGCCTGCTTTTGATTCCTTCTACTGTGTTCTTCAATTCAGAAATTGTATTCTTCATTTCCTCTTGTCTCTTATTGACAGTTTTTGTGTCCTTTTTCATGCTGATATAGTTTGCAGTAAGTTCCTCATAGTTGCCCTGATAGTTTTTGGTAATTCTCTCTGAGCTTACTAAGCTCATTAAGCTTCCTTAGCACCGTTGTTTGGAACTCAATATCTGATCATTTACTTGCCTCTATTTCATTTAGTTCTCTTTCTGGGGATTCCTCCTTTCCCTTTGAGTGGGGCATATTTCTTTGTCTTCCCATTATTTGTGAGACTCTTTTCTTTTGCTTCTGCTTCTTAAGTTGATCTGTCTTGATTTCCTGACTTTGTGGTGTGAACTTCTATGTTTGGAGACCACTGTTTTTACTTTCTGGATCTGCCTCTGATGATGTCAGATGTCGACCCTGTCTGACCTTAGACAGTCTGTTCGAGACTTCCAGTAATCTACCGTCTGTGGCTCTCTCCTTCAGCTGTTAATCTATTCATTCTGCACTCAGCAGAGTGCCTTAGACAGCTCAGGGCAGGCCTCAGTCCCTCCTGGGGGCAGGATTATTGGGTCCTTTCATGCTGCTGCCGAATGGGAGAGGAGTCTGCACTGGGATCCCGCCGGCTACTGTCTCTCCACTCTCTCCCCAAAGCCTCCTTCCTCAGTCTCTCCTCAGGCGTCTCTAGTCCACTCTGCCCCCACCTTTGCCGGGGACCAGGTAAGTGGCTGCAAATAAAAATTTTGCATTGGCCCTTTACAAGGCTCTTTGCATCTCCAGGCGCCTGTCTCTGGCAAAGATCAACCCTGCCATATTTCGCAGCTGGCTGTTTTCTGTGTTTCTGTGTACTTTTCGGACTCTGGTGCTGTGGGCTAGAAATCCCCGCTTTTGGTTTAGACCCCACTCTTCTCAGGGGGATCCAACTGGCCCTTTCAATATCCTTCTGGTGCTGCCGCCCATGGGTGCCCTGCCTGCCTTCTCAGGTCTGTAGCACACTCCTTACCAGTTAGATTGCGCTACAGCCGATTCTTCTGTCTCTGAGATTACAAGGCTCCTCTCTCACTATTGTTCAGTTGTTTGTTCCAGGTGATTTCTCCACAGTTTAGTTGTAATTCCAGGTTGTTGCTGGGAGGAGGTCAGTGTGACTTCCACTCACACCTCCGCCATCTTGATTCTCCTCTATTTTTTTTTTTTAATGAATCTGGACTTATCTTAAGCTTTGGAGGTTTGTGTTGGATCTCAGGAGCCAGGAAATAACTTTTGTGCACAAAGTTTTCACCAGTATGTAAGATCTACTAACAGGCAGGCATAAACATGGTATATATGATAATCCGTTCAGTGCTTTTTTAAATGGATATTATGTGACTACAACAAGACACAATGGAAAACCTTGAGAAATTGTATTCTGCTCATTTGCTTCTAGCTCTTTAAAAAAAAAAAAGAAAGAAACTTTTGAAACTCTTCACTCATTTCTCCCATTTCCCACCTGCTTTCTCTGGCAATCACCAATCTGTTCCCTAAATCTGTGAGCTTGGTTTTATTGGCTTTTTGTTTTGGTTTGTTCTTTTGCTTGTAGATTCCACATATAAGAGAGATCATACAATATTTATTTTTCTCTGCCTGACTTTACATAGCATAATGCCCTTGAGGTCTGTCCATGTTGTCACACACGGAAAGATTTTATCCTTTTTATGCCTGAACAATATTCCATTTTGTATATATACCACAATTTCTTTATCTGTTCACTTATTGATGGACATTTAGATTGTGTCCATATCTTGGCCCTTGTAAATAGTGCTGCAATGAACATAGGGATGCATATACCTTTTTGAGTTAATGTTTTCATTTTCTTCAGATAAATATCCAGAAGTGGAATTGCTAAATCATATGGTAGTTCTATTTTGAATTTTTTGAGGAACTTCCATATTCTTTTTCATAGTGGCTGCACCAGTTTACATTCTCACCAATAGTGCACAGGGTTCTCTTTTCTTCACCAACACTTGTTATCCCTTGTCTTTTTTATAACAGACATTCTCTCTGGTGTGAGGCAGTATTTCATTGTGGTTTAGATTTGCATTTCCCTGATGATTAGTGATGTTGAGCATCATTTTGTATACCTCTTAGCCATCTGTATGTCTTCTTTGGAAGAATAGCCATTCAAATCTTCTGCCCATCTTTTTCAATTGGATTGTTTTTGTTGTGGGTTTTTTTTTGGTTATTGAGTTGTATGAGTTTTCTGTATATTTTGGATATTGACCCATTATCAGATAAATGATTTGTAACCATATTCACAAGTCAGTCATTGTGATACACCACATTAACTAAATGAAGGATAAAAATCATATGATCATCTCAATAGATGCAGAGAAAGCATTTGACAATGTTGAGCATCCTTTTACGGTAAAAACTCTCAACAAAGCACATATTGATTGCTTATTATCTGCAAAGAAGTGGAATGAGTGTTCTTTTAATCCTTATAATTTAATCAGATAGGTATCATTATAGATATGTTACAGTTGAGAAAAACTCAAGCTTTTGTTAAATAACTTGTTCAATTTCAAACATATAGTAACTTCACCTGGGATTTAACCTCGTATCAGGTATGAATTCAAAGTACGTACTCTTAGTCACTATATATTGCCTATATCAGAGTTTCTTAATCGTGTAATTATTTATATTTTGGGTTAGGTAACTTTTTGTTATAGAGGACTGTGTGTTGTAGGGTGTTTAGCAGCATTCCTGGTGCCAGTAATAACCCCCCAGTTGCGACAACCAAAATATCTCCAGACATGGCCCTGGTGGCACAATCACCCGTGAAAATGGCTGGCCTCGAGGCGTATAATGAAAAAGACCTTTGGATGGTAAATTGTATGCAGACTGAGTGTATTGGAAATTGGTTAGAAAGCTGTATCTGAACTTCCCTGAACATAATGATTGTTTAAGTTGGGGAAGCTCTTTGGGGAACCCTGAGTACTCTGCTCAGAGTTGTCAGAAGAGAGATACTGGCTCCTGGGGGAAAGCTTTTCAATCAAGATGCTTTCTGTACAACCTATATGGGTCTCTTACTTGAGGTATACTCTGTGAGGCCTACCACTGAAGCGAAGTGCCAGTTACTCACTTTGCCAACAAGCTGTGTTTTCTGTCCAGTAGCCTTATGAATAAACTGGTGCCAGATGTAACCTATAGTAATCTGGTGTCTGTTTAGTTGAGCCTGGTTTCTGTTTAGTTGATCCTAAGACCTCCCTCGTGGACCTTGCACATGGGCCCCTAGTGAGTTCTAACAAACGAAAAATTTTAATTACTGTAATTTGGGAATACACTTTCTGATTTAATCCCTAATACTGAACTAGCTCATGGATATTTATTTTTGTATTTTTTTAAGTAATAGTTTTGTACCTTAATTTCTAGTACTAGTGCCAATATTACTCATTTTATATAACTATTGGTATTTTAATGGGAATTTTTAGGCATCTCTAGTATGAAGCCTTAATATCTTGACTGTGCTGCCCAAAAATTCGTTTTACTTAGTTATAAAGCAAAAATGAGTTGTTTCCTGGTACAGGAGAAATCTAACTGCAATTAAATTATGAAGTTTTTTTTAATCAAAGGACTATTTCATTTATCACTTTTTGTGTGTGATATCTAATCACTTTTTTGTGTGATGTGTATCTGTGTTTCTTTCTCCGTCTTTATAGGGTGGTTGTGGGGAAGGGAGAGCATCTATCCCTGTTGCAAAGATGGAAAACAAGAATTAAAAGGAGAACCCGCTGTTTGTATTTTCTTAAGTAAATTTAAGAATATTATTTATACTATTTTATTTTTTAATACTGTGCTAATACATGTTCATTATCTATAAGTCATATTTGTGTCTTTTTTCAGTCTCTCAGGTACCTGAATGTTGGCTTTGTATTTGAAACTCCTGGAACTTCAGAAAGTTTTATTTTGAGACATAACTTGTCTCAAATCACACCACCTATATAACTGTACAGGTGCTTAGCCCAAGCCTCAGAATTACTGGACTCATCTGATAAGAAAATCGAACAAAGCAAGAGTTGTGTTTAGAAGATGCAGCCCCTGAATAAGTTGATGAATGTCTTAAAACCTCAAAATCTGACTCTACACGAACAAAGTGAGGTCCTGAGAGCAGATATGTCTTGGCAGCAGGAAACCATTTCAGTCAGGGAGACCTATGATTCTGAGGCCTCTCGTCAAAAGTTCAGACATTTCCAGTACTTGGAAGTGTCTGGGCCTCATGAAGCCCTGAGCCAACTCTGGGAGCTCTGTCTTCAGTGGCTGAAACCGGAGGTTCATACAAAGAAGCAGATCCTAGAACTGCTGGTGCTTGAACAATTCCTGACAATTCTTCCTGAAGAGGTCAGGACTTGGGTGAATTTACAACATCCAAAGAACAGCAAAGAAGTGGTGACCCTCATAGAAGAAGTGATTGAAATGCTTAAAGATAAAGGTGAGAATATAGAAAACTGGTTGTAGAATAGTTGACTGTTATGTGGAATCTAAAAAAAACAACACTGAGCTCATAGATTCAGAGAACAGATTGGTGGTTGCCAACAGTGGGGAATAAGGAGTAGGCAGAATGTATGAAGAGGGTCAAAAGGTACAAACTTATAAAACAAGTAAGTCATGGGGATATAATGTACAGCATGGTGATATAGTTAACAATATTGTATTGCATATTTGAAAGTTGTTAAGAAAGTAGATCTTAAAAGTTCTCAAGAAAGATAATTTGTGCCTATATATGGTGACAGATGTTAACTTGATTTACTGTAGTGATTATTTTACAATGTATACAAATACTAAATCATTATGTTCTATACCTAAAACTAATAAAATGTTATATGTCAATTATGCCTCAGTTAAAATAAAAGAAAAACCTTTAAAAATAGTTGACCTTTCCCATATGAAGAAAAGTTATCTTTTTTGAAGTGAGGAGGTATCAAGGGCCAGATCATGAAGGATTTTACTATATCACAAAACATGGATTTTATTCTGTAGGCAATAGAAATAGAATGAGATCTCACAGGATGAGTAGAGGAGTACGATTTGGTGTGCATTTTAAAAAATATCATGTTGGTGCCCTGGCTGGTGTGTCTTAGTGGATTGAGCACCGGCCTGCAAACCAAGGGGTCACGGGTTCGATTTCCAATCAGGGCACATGCCTAGGTTGTGGGTGGGCCAGGCCCCTAGTAGGGGGTGCCTAAGAAGCAACCACACATTGATATTTTTCTCCCCCCCTTTCTCCCTTCCCCTCTGTCTAAAAATAAATAAAGTTTTTTGTTTTTTTTTTAAATCATGTTGGTATCAGTGTAGAGGTAGGGGGTTGGCAAACTGACCCACAGGCAAAATATTTTTGGAAATAAAGTTTTATTGGAATATAGCCACACCCATTGATTCATATTTTATCTGCAGTTGCTTTTGTGCTATGACCAGAGTTGATTAGTTATAGCAGAGACTGTATTGCCAGCAAACCTAAACTATTTACTATTTGGATCTTTACAGAAAACATTTACCAACTTCTTAAGTAAAGGATAGACCTGAAGGGCTCTGAAAATAGGAAAATCAATTAAAAGGTAGGTCAGGTGTTATAGAATTAAGGGAGCTTTGGAAAAACAGGAGTTTGAACCTAAAGGATTTATTGATTACCTGAGCAAAGTTTCAAGTATGAGACTAACATACAAAAATCAATTATATTTTATATGCTAGCAATGATCAATACTAAAATGAAATTAAGAAAACTATTTTTAATAGTATCAAAGAATAAAATACATAACTATAAATTTAAATAATGAGGTGTAAGACTTGTCCACTGAAAACTACAAAACATTGTTGAAAGAATTGAAAGACCTAAATAAATGAAAAGACACCCAGTGTTTTTGGATTAGTATTGTCACAATGATAATACTCCCCAAATCAATCTATAGATTCAATGCAATTTCTATCAAAATTCCAACTACCTTTTTGCAGAAATGGGAAAACTGATACTAAAATTCATATAGAAATATAGGGAAATAAAAACCCAAATAGCCAAGACAACCTTGATTAAGAACAGAGTTTCAGGATGCACACTTCCTAATTTCAAAACTTAGTGCAAAACTTAAATAATCAAAGCCATGTGGTACTGGAATAAGATAGACTTACATAAGCGGAATACAATTGAGAGTTCAGAAATAAACTTATACTTCTCAGTCTGTTGATTTTTTTTTTAACAAGGGTACTAAGACTATCAACTGAAAAAAGTTTTTAACAAGTAGTACTGGCACAATTTGATATCCACAGGCAAAAGATTGAAGACTTCATACCATATGCAAAAATTAACTCAAAGTGGATCAACAAACATAAATATGAGCTAAAGATATTCTTAGAAGAAAAGATTGGAGTAATTCTTCATCACTTTGACTTTCATAATTGATACTTAGATATGGCACCAAAAATACAAAAAAAAGAAAAAAGAAAAATTAGACTTCATCAAAATTAAAAACTTGTGTACCAAAGGACACAATCAAGAAAGTGAAAAGAATGAGAAAATATTTGAAACCCATATCTGTTAAGTCCCAGTATTGGGAAAATGTTGAGAAAAGAACTTTTACAACTCAACAATAGAAAGATAACACAATTTTTTAAATGAGCAAAGGACTCAAATCGATGTTTCTCCAGAGAAGATATACAAATGGCCAACAAGCATAGAAGTAATTTTTCAGCATCATTAAGTCATGGGGGAATTGAATATCAAACCTGCATTGAGATACCACCTGACATCCACTAGGATGGTTATACTAATAAAAGGAAAAGATATTTTAAAAAATAACATGTTGTTGAAGCTATGGAGCAATTTGAACCCTTATATATTGCTTTTGGGAATATAAAATGGTACAGACATTGTGAAAAACAGTTTGGTAATTCTTCAAAAAGTTACACATGGAATTACCATATACTGAAGAGAGTTAGTTGAAAACGTGTTTACACAAAAATTTGTACATGAATATTCTTAGCAGCAGTATACAAAATAGCCAAAAAGTGAAAGCAATCCCAATGTCCATCAGCTGATGAATGGATGAAGAAATTAGAGTATATCTATACAATGGAATAATATCCAGCCATTAAAAGGGATGAAAAACTGATACACGGTACAGTATGGATGAAATAACATCATAATGAGCCTATATGGTAATAACTCAGTAAATATATGTTGAATAAATGAATGAGCAATTCTTGGTATATTACATCAAGAAGACTATAGTTAAGTGCATGAACTGCTGCTAAGAAAAAATTTTGGTAGAGTAGAAAAATCTTTATGAGGAAGTGGGAATATGGAGGTATGAGTATATTAAAACTTCCAAGAACATAATACTGAAGGATGAAAAGAGGCATTGATAGTCAAGATCCATTTTACATTAGAAGGGAAAGGAATATTCTATAAAGAGCTTGAGAATGCATATGAATTTTTACTTGAATGGGATGAGAGTTTCTGTGAATACACTTGTAAAAGTTCAAGAAGGAGGTCAGTAGGGAAGAAGAATCTAGGAAAGGAAACAGTAATCAGTGAGAGCAATAAATAAGGGCATAGCTAATTGGAGGTTTTTGTACCTCTTCAAGATATCTCACATATTACCAAGAATGACAGAAGTAAGCAATGTTGTGTTGACTGTCCTAGGGATTGAGCTGACAGAGGTATCAAAAAGCATTATAGGCCTGAATAAAGTTAACAGTAATCTTTGGGCAGCGCTCAAATAGCATATTGCTGAGAAATGTGGAGGGTTTTTTTCCTCCAAATTCCACCTTTATTTACAAAACGGTCTCATAAAATATCTCTATTGTTTCTATTTTTATTTTACCCTAAATCAATGAAAACTTCTTCAAAGAACAGCATTGGTTTAGAGTCTGGCATTTGAGGATCATTGGTGTAATTAATGAATCTTAGAAAAACTTTAGGAAAGTGGCCTTTGGGTATACTTCTCACCAACAGGCTGGAGAAGAGAATTGGTAGCCACTGAGATTTTTATGTACTTGAAAGAGTCACTAGTTTGTAGTGACCAGACTAAGTGTGCAATTAGTATATATAGATTAATTTAGAGGAAAAAGACCCTTGAGTAGAATTCTCCCTAATGTGTTTCAGGAAGGGATTGGTTGGATAAAATACAGGGCTGGGCAAAAGTAGGCTGATAGTTCATATGGAAAAATAATGCACTAATTAATAAATAATAATACAAGAATAAAGTCTGGTCTACTCAGAACTGTAATCCTATTTTTACCCTACCCTGTGTTCTTAGCTCCCAGTGGAATTGCACACAGTCTGTGGAGGCTAAGCCTTAGGTAAGATTTAGTTTTGATAGGATTAGTTATTTTTATAATCTGCTTTAACCACAGATGAGGCCTCAAAATATTATTTTGGCCCTCTTGCTGCTGATCCAGTAGCTCTCAATCCTTGGTAGACTGTCAGAATTACTTTGAGAGTTTTTTAAAAATATAAGATCTGGGCCCCACCCTTGGAGATTCTGGTTGTTGGTACAGCCTGGCATCATTATTTTTTCAAGTTCTTTAAAGCTGATTCCTATGAATAAGGTGGTAAAGTTAGTGCTATAACCATTAAGTTTTTCTCCAGGGCAAAGCTTGTCTCCTAATGTTTTCCTTCATCTTCAGGTACACCCTGTGAGGGTTCTGTCCTTCTCCAGAAGGGGAGCATGAAGAAGGAGAAAATGGAAGCTGACTCACTAACAGACAAATCCCAGGTGAATTGGGATTCCACTCTACTGAAATGAACTGCTTTTTCTTTTTTGGCCTTTGAACTTCTGACAAACATAATTCTAAGGACATCAAATTGTTCTCCCACAGGACATTGGACCTATTTTAGTTGATGATACATTTTTTGGAAAATATAATCTTAGTATAATCTCTGTGCATCTATTTCTTCAAAATTGTAAATGGTAATTGAATCTATGAAAACAGAGCCTAGCCCTGACTGGTGTGGCTCAGTGAGTTGAGTGTTAGTCTGCAAATCAAAGGGTTGCTAGTTCAGTTCCCAGTCAGGACACATGCCTGGGTTGTGGGCCAGGTCCCTGGTTGGGGGCCTGTGAGTGGCATATTGATGTTTTCTTTCACATTGAAGTTTCCCTCTCTTTCTCCTTCCCTTCCTCTCTCCCTAGAATTTAAAAAAAAAAAAATCTTTTTTTAAAAAAAGGTAAAAAAGAAAGAAAATAGAGCCTATCCAGAGAATGTTTAGCATTAAAAGTGAAGGCAGCCAAGGACAGAATCCTGAGCAATGTTACATAATCAACAGGAGAATAAATTTCACAAGATATTGAAATGAAAGGACCAAAGTGGCAGAGGAAAACCAGGAATATATGTCACTGAAAGCAAAGGATGAGAATATTTCAAGGGGAAAGTTATTAAAAGTTCAGAAAAATCCAGCCTGAGTAGTGTCTGTTCACATCATTATGGACGGGAAGAAACCATACAAACATACATGGGAAGAGAAGCCAGTTTACAGAGGGTTGAGGGAACAAGAGAAGGGGGGGGAGTAGGCAAAACGAATATAGACACTTACAAAAAATAGGCTCTGAAGTAGGGGAAGAGAAAGGAATTGTATATTTCAGTGTGATTGAAGACACCAACATTGACAAAGTTGAGAATGCTGAAGAGAAGTGCAATAACTGATGGTATAAAGGCCCTTACAACAAATGTTTATGCAGTGCCTAATATGCAAGACACTTTTTCTAAGGGCTGGGAATATGACAGTAAATGAAACAAAACCCCTGCCCTTGTGGAAATTATATTCTCGTAGAAGCAGACAGACAAACACAAGCAAATAAGATAATTGCAGACAGTAATTATTACAAAGAAATACAATAAAAACTGACTAGGAGAATGTCTACTTTGGGTAATCAGGAAAGGCCTGTCTGACAAGGTGACATTGGGCCATGAGACCTGAGTTAGCAGGCGGCATTTCTCAGAGAAAATGCCCTACCTCTTCTGCTAGCAGAGCCTACATCTTCATTAAATTTCTCTCAAATCTGCCTTAAACCCTTTGTGCTCTGAAGTCCTTTTATGTAAATTATTTATACTCTATAAGTTATTTATTCCACAGTTATTCCAACTGTCTATCTCCTCCAGCAAAATGTAAGCTAATCAATTTTTTTTTTTTTTTTGCAGCCCTCACAGTTTCAAGTTGATAGACCTGTAAAAACTTGATTTCATCTCTTAGAACTCCAAACATTGTGCTCTCAATTTCTTGTATATTCTGGCCACCTACTCTATTCTTCCAAATTCATTTCTCCTCTAGTAATATTTTCAGAGTGACCTTTGATTTAAAAGGAACTTAATGTTTTAGGAACCGGTGACAATCAAAGATGTTGTTGTGGAATTCAGCGCCGAAGAGTGGAGGCAGCTGGACCCTGCTATAAGGAACCTGTACAGGGGTGTGATGCTGGAGAACTATAGGAACTTCAGTTCATTGCGTAAAGGTGGCTTCTATGTCTTTACCTAATCTGCCCATTAGTAATCTCTTCATGTACTGTTAAAAATTATAGGACTGCTGAAGTGATTAAGGGCATTTGGGTTTAGGTTCAGGTTCCCTAATATCCTTTGGGCACAATAGCAGATTTTCTTGGCTATACCTGGTTGAATGTCCTTTGTGACATAGAGTTGGAAGTACACAGGTCCCTGGTGATTCTGGCCTTATCTTTCAACAGCTCTTAGATTATGTTGGGATGGGATTATTTTCCCTATAAAAATGTCTGAAGTGTCATGTATGTTTGTTCGTTATTGTTGTTTTCATTTGCCCCATGAACAGAGCTTCTATTTTCCAAACCAGCTGAGGTCCCCAAGTTGGAGAATAAGAAAAAAAGACGTATGATGGAGCAAGAAATCCCAAGGAAAATGTTTTTTGGTAAGAAGCAGGCATATACGAGGCATTTGTCAACAGCTTCTGTTTATTAAACTACAAAGTGCAAGCCAGCCTTTGAGTTGACAGTTGGGGAAGGGACAACAAAACCACCCAAACTTTGAAGGAAAAGAGTCTTCACTGGTTTTTGTTCACACTGTTTTTCTTACGCAGACAGATAAAATAGTGTTATGAGTTAGAAATACAGACATTTAACTTAAAGCTGTGTGGCCGATCTGCCAGTTTCCTAATTTGTAACAGAGTGAATAGTAACTTCCTCCACTTTACTGTGAGGATTAAATAGGCTGATATGTGTAGCATACTTAGAGCATTGCCTGATACCTGCTAAGTGCTGTAGAAACAAATGTTAGTCAACATAACATTAACTGATATTCTTACTTTTAAAGAAAATAGAAAACTGCTTTATCCTAGAGTGGCGTCATCATTCTTCCATTTTTTTCCTTCTTTAACTATAGAAGTCTTTTGACTTATGCCTTAAACCTCCACCTTCATCAAAATCTCTTTATTCTTACAAACATTTTGTTAGAGATTATAAACTACTGTGGGCTTAATATACATTTTATTAAGTATGGAAAATCATGAATAGTAATATAACTCACCGCATTACCTCGCTACCCAGAGCTATGTACTATTAATATTCAGTTTGTTTTCTTAAGCCATCTTCTTTGTAATGATGTATCTCTGTGGCTGGTGACGATTTCTTTTTTCCAAAATTGGGGTTATAGGAATATGTCATTATATACATATATCCTGCTCTTCTTACCTAATATGATACCATGCACAGTTTCCTACAATATTTCACTAAACAGTCTATGAAAATGTGGTTTCTAATTCACATATAACATTCTATCACATACATTTATCAATGTATTCAGCCATTCCTTCCCCCAATCCCAGCTACTGGAAAGTTAGGTTATTGTCAATTTTTCAGGCATATCTGATAACTCCCTTAGGATACCTTATTAGAAGAGGAACTTCAGCATCAAAAAAGGCATGCGTGTGTATGTGTGTGTATGTATATTAATACATATATGAATAAATATACTTATGAATGAATATATAAGTATATATGAATAAATATATATGGGGGGGTGTATTTAGGGAGATGTCCAAAGATGCATTTTATTCATTTAACTTTTTTTCAATTATAGTTAACATTTAATATTATTTTATATTAGTTTCAGATGTACAGCATAATGATTAGACATTTAAGAAGTGATACTCCGATAAGTCTAGTGCTCACCTAACACCATATATAATTACAATATTATTATTTTTTTAATTTTATTTTAATTTATTTTTTCAAATACATTTGTCTCTGCCTACCCCCACCACTTTCCCTTGCCCCCTCCCTCCTTCCCTCCCTCAGCTCTTCCCCTTTGTAATTACAATATTATTGACTATATCACTATGCTGCACTTTGTATCCTTGTGACTATTTTCTAACTACCTGTTGTACTTCTGAATTCCTCCACCCTTTTCACCCAGTTCCCCATTCCCCTCTTCTCTGGCACTGGCAACCATCATTTTGTTCTTTGTCTCTATTTGTCTGTTTCCATTTTGTTTGTTCATTAATTTTATTCTTTGAATTTTATATGTAAGTGAAATCACATGGTATTTGTCTGTCTTTGACTGACTTCGCTTAGAATAATGCCTTCAAGGTTAATCCATGTTGCAGCAAATGGTAAAATTTTATTTTTTATGGCCAATTTATATTCCATGGTGTATATATGTGGGTGGGTGGGTGTGTATTTCACATCTTCTTTACAAAGGGAATAAATATACTTAACTTTCCTGTTAGAGCCTGCTACATCGTCTACAGAAAGATTATATCAGTTCAGACTCTCACTAATAATTAGAGTATTATTTTCTATTATATCTCTGTTTATTACTGTCACCCTAGAAAACATGAGGTATTTTTTTTTTACATGAAATCTTTATTAATTGATAGACAAATTACTCTGTTTCTTCCTTTCTAAGGTAATTCCTCTTTTTGGGTTATCTTTTGGATCCCATTTCAATAAAATGTTCTTTCTCCTATTCTTTGCCTTAATGATTTCCAAACCTTTTTAATATATTTATCCCATTTATTTTTTTTCTGTAATTCTCCTTTTCTAGCCTTACCTCACATTTTCATTCTGTATTTAAGACCCATAAAATAGGCATATCACCTTATATGATTTAGCCTCCTTTTCCTTAATTAAGCAATTTCCTTTCCTCAAGTTTGTGGGATTTTTATTTCTTTTTTAGACAGACAGACAATTTCAGAAAATCAGGATTCAGTTCAAAAGCAGAAAATTTCTGGAGAAGAATCATCCTGTAGAATAATGATACCGAAACTGATGCAAAGTGGGCTTCCTTCTTCAGATGTCTGGAAAAGTGATGATTGTTTACTTAAGAACCAGGAGCACTGGGACATATGTTTGCCACAAAAAGCTTTTATTCATAAGACTGAGGAGGGAGACTTGGAATGTTGTGAAGATAAGAAAAGCTTCGATGGTAAGTCAGTTAACTTAGTTTTTGATACGCAACAGGGATTTCCTCTGAGGAAGGGGTCCCCAAAGTGCGATAAGTTTAAAACTAACTTCAAATTTAATTTAGATTCAGTAGGTAAGCAACATTCAGAATATAATGAACATGGGAATGCCTCAAGCCTGAATACAGATACTCGACACCCAGAAAGTCTTACCATGATGAATTGTTATGAATGTCTTGAGTGTGGGAAAGCCTTCAGCCGGAGTTCATCCCTTGTTCGACATCAGATCATTCACACAGGAGAGAAACCCTATAAATGCAGTGAATGTGGGAGATTCTTCAACCGACGAACAAACCTTACTAAGCATCAAAAAATTCATCTTGAAGTAAAGGCCTATAAAGGAAATAAATGTGGAACTGCCTTCAGTAAGAGGGAAGACAGTAATAAAAATCCAACTCTCCATCCTAGAGATAATGCCTATGAATGTGTTAACTGTGGTAAATCCTTCAGCCGGAGCTCCTCACTTATTCGACATCAAATGATTCATACTGGAGAGAAACCATTTAAATGTAACAAATGTGAGAAAACCTTCAACAGGAATTCAAACCTTATTAAACACCAAAAACTTCATACTCAAGAGAAATCCTTTAACAAGAGTAAATGTGATGTTACCTTCAGTTACAGTACAGAACTCATTCAACAACCATGAGTTTATGCTGGAAGGAATCCCATGAAAATGCTAAACGGAAAAACCTATTTGTCAGAGATTATTCTTTAATTGAAAATAATGGAGTTAATATTGTAGAGAAACTGTTGTCGGATACAAACCCCAGGGAGATTTTCCAGGTGAAGCCACAGAGTTCAGAGTTAAACGTACCACCATACAAGTGTTTATCATTATTCTGATGTTCATTACCATCATCTTTCACTAGTTCATAAATAGGACCTATTCACTTGATCTATTGAGGGAGTTCGTATTTGGGAGAAGCCAAGCAATACACTTGGAGTTGATATTTAATGAAATTCAAATTTTCAGTACTTATAAGAAAATTATAAGAAACCAGGAGCTCACAAGAATACAGGAGGACATTTCTAAGCACTAAACCCTCTGATTTAATGTCAAAGACCACAGTGACAACCAGTCACTCCTTATTAATATCCTTGGCTGTCCTGGTACTCACTGGGGACTGCAATTGGAAAAGGGTTATCATCTGCAATGGGAGGTGGATGTGTTGTTAATCTATATGTATTTTTTTCAGATCTGCATTTTTTAAAAGTACTCTTTGGGACTAGGCTGGAGAGATATCCATAGCCCTAGGTCTCTCATATATCCTAAACATTCAAAGGTCAATAAAGTGTCCTAATTCTCTGTGCACCAGAACTGCCTCTTTATTTCATAAACTGCTTCAGGATCCCTAAGAGTTCTTGAGTTGAAAAGCTTATCTTAATCTGTCCAAAAAGATTCATATTGGAGACATTCCAATGAATGATGATGGTGACTTTTTCAGAGTTCATACCTTCTGCTTTGTTCCAAAGCAGAAAAGCATCCTAAAGTGGATTCCTATGATGAGGTAATAAAGTAGGAAAAGTATTCCTTGTTCATTTGTTCACTCTTTACATCACAAGATGAGTTATATTAAGACAAAACTCTGCACAAGTAATTGATATGGAAATTTATATAAACATAAGGCAATTTGTTAAAGGATCCTAACAAGATAAAAACACTGAATGTAAGAAATTCTTTGAGATATATTGTTCAGTCATTCATCAGAGTACACGAATATAATGGATTCTGACATTCTCATTTTAGGTGTTCTGAATCTTTTTGTCTTATATGTTGTGATTTTATTTTGGGTGGTTGAAAGATAGAAGTACTACTTTTTTATCTCAACAGCTAGGTCTTTGGGTCCAAGTAAAATGCTTTATTTTTTTTCTCCTAAATCTCTCAGCTTTCTAAACACAAAAGATATGTTTACTGTTACTAAGTTAAACATGTATCTTCAAAGACTGTCTCTTTAGAATGCATTCAAAATTTAATTTTTTTGCAGAACATTTACAGCCAGATAACACCTCCCAGTCTTTTCACATAAGTCTATTATTTAATTTTACTGTATGCATTCAAGGCAGATACCTAAGTTGAAACATGAAAGAGTAGAAATTAGCTAGATTATGTGTGGTGGAGGGTGGAAATGTTAGAGAGGAGAGATGATAAAGGAAAAACAGTACAAAATTACGGAGGGAGTAGGGCATGACATCTGAAAAAAGTTCACACACTAGAATATGACACTGGAAAATGGGGGGACAGGAATATATAGAGGTAAAGCTAGAGATCAAAGGCCAGATCATGAAAGGCCATGAAAGCCATCTTAGAAGTTTGGACTCTCTCCTAAAGATAATGGCAAAGAAAAAAAAACTTACCTACACAATTATTTAGTCCTCTTAAAGTGTTAATTGAAATAACAGGCAAAGGAAAATATATGGGAATTGAAAAGGGGAAAATTCATTTGCTGATGATGTAGACCAATCTAAATAGCCTTAAAAAAAAATTGAAAAGCTTAGATACAACAAGTAAATTCCGTTATATATACCCCACTAACCTCAAAAAATATTTTGAATAAATGGAAAGATGTTTCTGGTGAGAAGGTTACTGTCAATGTTGAATCTCCTCACATTATAAAAAAATCTAATCAAATATTTTATTGAGAAGATTATTTCACAAATTGATTATAAAATTTGTAGGTACCACTGTAGTGAGGAAAACTAAGAAATATCTCTAGAGATGACAGTTTGGTGGCTAAAGGGCAAAGTATCTGAAAAAGACATCATTTTGATTTTCTTTGATGAAAAAGCTGCTTCTGAAACATCTAAAAGATTCTTAAGATATATAGCAAATAAAACTTCTGGATTTTAATCCTGGATTTGCCGGTAATTTGTCCTTTAATTATTTAATGTGGGACTCTGAGAATAGGAATACCTGGCCTACATTTTGATTATTACACAGCTCAAATGAGGTAATATAGTAATTATTTTGTAAGTACAGGAATTGCAAGTTAAATGCAAATTTGTGGTTTTAATATTAGAGCTTAATGGTTTAACACAGTGTTTGATTCATAGTAAGTGCTCAAAAAATTATAGTCATCAATTATTATAATGTACCAAAGAAGGCTGATTCAGCAACTAACAACCCTCCAAAACATCAAATGCAATAAATTCTACCTTTAGGGATGAAGGATTCCCCACTGCATGCTCAGGTTTTCTGAGAATCAAACAAGATTCAGTGAACGAAATCTCAGCACCAGAATTCATCATAAATACAGCAAACACTTAAACAGGGTAGTACCTACCTTAGTGCCCCCCCCAAACATTTAGGTTAATATATTTTCAATTGTTGAATATTTTTTCAAAAGGAGAGTCTTGCCTTTACTTTTCTTATCCTTAAACTAGAAAAGAAAGAACAATTCTTGGAAACCTGTTCAAAGGTAAATATAAATTATGGCAAAATCCATTCAAAAACCTTGTGGTAATAAATACTCTCAAAAATCTGGATGTATGTGTGTATGCTCGTGAATGTAGTCTTGTCAAGTATAGCAGATACCCGACCAAAGCAGTTATTTCATAAACACAACCTAGCAAAAACTAACACTTGGGATATGCTCACCAGCTGTCTAACAATCTCATGGCAAGTACTGATTGGCATGTGCCATACTGGGAGACCACAGGAGAGCAAAGGGGGGATTTTGCCCACTAAGGTAAAACCAAAGATACAGTCTGATACTAATATGTGCAGATCACAGAGGCAACCAAGTAATAAGGAAAGGCGATAGAGGTTGAGAGAAGAAAGGGAAGAGGTTCTCAGAAGTTTAAGCTTCCAAGAATAAGAATTTTCTTTACATCTTCATGGATGGAAAGCGGTAAACATCTCAGTGGTTTGACCTCTGAATGAAAATATATAATTTTTTGAGTCAATGAAAATTAAATGTTCTGCATCAGCTACAATTTACTTGGCTCTTTGATTCCAAAATAACTCATGTTCACTATCTACTAGATAATACGTGGAGAGAGAAAGCTGACATGAGGACTACCCAATTATATGACTTGCTTGATGCTGTTTTAAAATTTTGTCCTTTTCATTATGAACATAGTAATTATTAAAATAGAGTGCTATAGTTTAAAGAGGAAGAGAATTTTTCTGTCAGTTTTCTCTTCCTGTGAATCAGTTTTCATATAAAACCAACTGAAAATATTTCTGAATTGGACACCTGTGAACATTTTAATGGAGTCTGCTCCTAAACCCCAAAATTCTAAAAAAAAAAAAAGTATTTGAAATCATTTGAAGATGTGTGAAGTTATGGTAATGCTGTCTTCAACAACATCCATCCTTAAACATTTACAGTATGTCAACACAGGCCTGGAATATGGAGACACTCCAGGAATTAATATCTAAACATCAAACAAGGTGGCAGGTACTAGACAAATCATGTGGAGGCACAGGATTCCAGAGACCAGATTTGGCAAGTTTTAAGTCTCCAGCGTCTCGGGGCAAGGTATCTGAGAAGAGTATGAAAACGGTACCTCGGGATGGAGAAAAATGACTACTAACCTAAGCCCTGGCTATGAGGGGCTTCCTGTGTCAATCGCCCCTTTCCCGAGCACCCCTCCTAGAGGAGGGCAGACCAGTAAAAAGGTGAAAGAAGAGAGGAGTCTAGGGGCAGTCCCTTCCCTAATTTTAAGAGGTCATCGGTCTTCAGGCCGTGCATCTACAATGCGTAGCTTTGGCCTATTAATAAAAAGAAATCAAGTTCAACGCTCTTCCGCTCGCTGACAAGGAGGCCCGTCAATCTGAGAAGGCAGGGAAGGCTGGAAGGATGAAAAGTCTGCCATTGCCCAAATACCGAAGTCCATCCCTAGGGAACTTCTGCACCAGGTACCCTCAGGAGCTCATCCCAGCCTGAGAACACCTGCCCTTCGGAGAGGGGCAGGCCTGGCGACTGGAAGTGTAGTCGGGGGAGGGCACGGGGGCCGGCGGGGGCATCTGTGGCATAGACTTGGGCTCAGACCATCCTCCTGAGCAAGTGCAGTGGAGTTCCACTAGCAGGGTAACTTCTGGGGATTCTAACATCCTCTGTGCTTTGTGGAACTGGAATGCACAAGCTTTCTTCCCGGGGAACCGAGTAATCCTTCTGTCTTTGGGGCTTCTCTCCAATTGATGTTGGAAGTGTACAATGACCTCTAGCCCCCAACACCTTTAAAAAGGTTTGCCACTTGGTGCCTGAAGACATGGTGAGATTTCCCACTGGGCCTCTCAGCTTGATATCATTGGGCTAATTGCGAACCTTTCCAGTCAGAATTTCTCTAGATGTACAGTGCTTAGTAGGACACTTCTTGAAGCGAGGGTGAAATTAGAATGACATCAGGCTTTTGAGAAGACTTCCTAGAATAGGTGTGTTGTGAAAATTAATACTTCATTGTGTGTGGTAGACCCTTTTTTAGAGATTAAAGATAAAAGGACCTTAAGGCTCCTATTGTTTCAACCCCTTTAATTTACAGCTAAGAATACTTAAGCTCAGAGAGGTCAAATGATTATCCTAATACCATCAATAAAAGACAAAAGGCCAACAGATTTTTACAATATTTCAGCAACTGTGCTTTTCACTGCTTACCAGGAGACTTTTTCAAAGACTGTCGTTAAAGTCCTAATTCATTTGTCAA